GCAGTTGTAGAGCGCGATAAGGTCTCCCATCAGACTCTTTTTCTTCAGGCTTAACAGCCCCAGTTCCCTCAGCTGCTCCTCATAGGAAGTGTGCTCTGGACCCTTCATCAGCCTCGTTGCTCTTCTCTGGACACACTCCAGCAACTCAATGTCCTTCTTGTAGTGAGGAAGTCCAAAACTGAACACCGCATTGGAGGTGCGGCCTCACCAGTGCCAAGCACAGGGGCATGATCAATGCCCTACTCCTGCTGGCCACACTATTCCTGATACACCCCAGGTCCTTTTCGGCCAGGCAGCTTTCCAGGCACTCTTCCCCAAGCCTGTAGCATTGCATGGGGTTGTTGTGACCCAAGGGCAGGACCCGGCACTGAGCCTTGTTGGACCTCATACAGTTGGCCTTGGCCCATCGATTCAGCCTGTCCGGATCCCTCTGCAGAGCCTTCCTACCCTTGAGCAGATCAACACTCCTGCCCAACTTGGTGTTGTCTGCAAACTAAGGGTGCACTCATCCAGATTGTTGATAAAGATATTAAACAGAACTGGCCCCAGTAACAAGCCCTGGGGAACACAACTTGTAACTGGCCACCAAATGAGTTCAACTCCATTCACAACTCTTTGGGCCCGGCCACCCAGCCAGTCTTTTACCGAGCCAAGAGCACACCCACCCAAGCCATGAGCAGTCAGTTTCTCCAGGAGAATGCCGTGGGAAATGGTGTCAGAGGCTTTACTAAAGTCCAGGGAAACAACATCCACAGCTTTTCCCTCATCCACTAAGTGTCCTAGGAGGAAATCAGGTTAGTCAAGCAGGACCTGCCTTTCGTAAACCCATGCTGACCAGGCCTGATCACCTGGTTGTCCTGTACATGCTGCATGATGGCACTCAAGATGATCCGCTCCATAAGAATATAAATACTTAGACTATTGTCTTAAAGCCTATGCTTTTTTGGTGTGTTTTCTGCCCAGTCTAAACCACCAGTTTACTGAGGTATACTCTGGACAAATCCAACCACTGTTGTGCAGTGTGAGGTCCTGAAGACAGGAGCAAATAAACCACACATTTTATGCAGCTGGTGGAAGAAACAGATGTGGCTCTCCCAAAGGCTTAAGTTCAGAGTGATTCCAGCGTGCCCATGGAGCTTGGAAGTACATCTGTGTGCTAAGATTAGACCCAATCTATGTGCACCTACACCTGCCTTTCCAGCTGCCCTATATACCTCTCTAATTGCTCCCTAGTGTCTTCCATAGACCCACAGAAGAATGTCAGCCTGCATCCCCCTTGGGAGCTGCAGCTAGGCACATCTGATCTGTTGCAACGCAGTTTCACTGTACACACAACAAGGTGTGCAGAGTATAACGGGGAAAGTAGCCCAGAGCCCTGGAGCCAGGGAACCGTGCAGTCCTGATGGCTCTATGGGACCCGTTCGTCTTAACTTTCTGGCAGGATTGAATTTGGGGGACTTACAAAAGCCACTTCTCTTTTTTAGCTTTTGCTTTCAAATTATTGTTCAGGCTAGGGACGTACAGATCTCCCTGAACTCCACCTGAGGAAGGTAAGAGGCACAAGCATTTGCCTCCAACACAGAGTCCCACCTGTCCAGTGTGTGTGTCACTGAAGTAGGACTCTTCAGTGGAGGAGGTAAGAGAGCAGCCCCCCTACCTCCATGTGCTAGGGCAAGGGAGGTTCTCTGGAGGACTGGTCTTCCTATCGGAGGTGACAAGACATGTGAGTGACCCCTCTGCCATGTTCCACTGCTTATCAGCAGTGTCTTGCAGTGCTTCCTTCCTATCCCTGCAGCTCTTACTCTTTACCAGCTCATTTACTTTCTCAAGAATGAGGCTCTGCCAGCATAGCACTCGCTTTTCGCACAGCCTTCTACGTTTTCTTGAAATGATTTGATTTTGCAGACACAATTTTCATGGCAAGTATGTGCCACAGACTTGGAAGGGCTCAAAGCTCAGGACTTCCCACCACATTGTGAGCACCAGAAGGAGAAGAAAGAGCATAGGCATCATGCTGGAAGCAAGACAGAGAGATCATCTCCACATACTGCCAGAAATTTCTCTCTGATTCCCTGGGACTGATGCACTGATAAAATCCCCATCTTCCTGTGCACTGTTTCCTAAGAATACACAGAATTCCAAAGCTGAACTTTCTTCCGTAGAAACTACTAGAGCATCTGGAAAGCTGGTTATGAGGGAATGCATTTGCAAGGGCTTGCATAGATGATGTTTCTGCCTCACTCTTAGGAAGCTATAGAAGAAGCCACTACTAAGTTCTTTGCTCTTATTGATGTTCAGATGGTTGATCAGTCCTCTCTCCTCAGCCTCCAGCAGCTCCCCGACACTGCTGAGCTCCAGAGAGCTTCCCATGCACTGTACATGGACACTGCTGCTGCATGGATGCAGGCAGTGTTCAAGCCAGGTCACACCTCTTCATTCTATGTAAGTTATGTGCAAGAGAGGTCACTGCTTGGCTCTCTCCTCTGTCAGAATCGCTGCTGCAACTGGGTGAAGGCAGGAGTATCGGGGGATGAATCTTAGACACTGTTCTTGTTGCATCTCTAAACAGCCTTTTCTGTATTCTCTAAAGACTCTCCAGGAGCCTGGTTATGAGAAGATCCATCTGGAAAAGGGCAGCACAGCAGGACAAACTCTGCCAAGTCTAAAATTAAACTTAAGAGGGCTTAAGAGATCAGTCATACAAGATACCCAAAAATAACTTAGAATAAATCCTAAGAGGAACAGTGAAAGCACTGCTGACACCTTCATTTCTCAGTGAGGTGCATGTCTGCATGTTGAAGTATGAATGTGGTCTATAAATACCACCAGTTGTTACCACTGGAAATGGAGGAGGGGTTTCCAGTGCTCCAGCAAGAGGAACAATGAAGGGTGGTGTTCTTCACCAGGAAATGCTTGTGCAGTTCCTACCACAACCTTTAGCAGTAAGCCAGGCACAATCCAGATACCAGCCATCGAAAGTAAAGTGACCTCCCTCCAGGATTTTCTCTGTCTCCAACCTACAATCCTTCTTTGAGTTCTGGGTCCAGAATGCCTTTTTCTGGACACGCCAGTATTTTCTGTCATTATTATTTTAACTGGAGGGCTCAGCCATAGCCAGGTCTCTCCACAGTGCTCAGGCTGGGCATAAGGCACTTCTCCAGAAGGGTGGTGCAGGTCTGGGACAAGAGTGGGGGAAAAACCTCCATCCTTGGAGTCACTAAAGAATAGCTATCATAATTCTTGAAGTATTTCAAGGTTTGGCTGGGCAAAGTCACAGCTGACCTGATCAGGCTTTAGTGACAGTCCTGCTCTGAACAGGAGGCCAGACAACAGACCTGCAGGGTCCTGTCAACACCACGCTTCTGGGATGCTGTGATTTCTGTGATCCACTGGGTATCTGTAAGTTCGTTTGCCCCAAAACTTACTGACTTGACATTCCTTCTGCTCAGACATGGACAGCCTTACCCACCTCTTTGGAAACGGGGATGGTGCTTTGATAAGTCATGTGTCACTTCCTTTTCTTGACTGTCCTCTTGACAGTGCCTGGATTCACAGAGTCGAAGTCCTTCCCTATGCCGTGGAGACATTGCAATGGTCATTGAGACACTGAAATGTTTCAATGTCAAGCGAACCTTCTCTTTCAAAGAAACTTATACATAGGCAAACAGACTGCAGACTGTGTACATAACACTTTTTTAGCATATTTAGCACAGGTTTAAAATGGCAAATAGTAAACAAATGTGGTAATAATAGCATTATAATAATAGATTGTTATTTCAGCACAGCTATCATTTGAATGGTTACGTTTATCTCAAACCCACCAACAAAGACACCAGAAAGATTAACATTTTATATTGGTTTGTACGTATAATTAATTACAATTAAGAAAATATTACACAGTGACTTCAGCATCACTACAGCATTTCACTGTTTATTCTTTTTTAATGGCTCACATTTCCTACATCAGTCTTTTGACTGTGCAATTAAAATTGCGCAAAACTAATCAAAACCCCTCCTCCTGAAGCTGTCTTCGCATCAGTTAAAGTCGTAAAGGACAAAATGGATTCTTCTTCATTACCTCTGGCAGGCATGCTGTGCTCTGACTCCTCAAGGCAGGCAGGCTCTTGGTCACCTCGGAACACAGCATATTTAAGGAAACACATACACTTGGTGGATGGATGCACCTAGGGCAAGGGAATTTTTTTATAATCTCTGATTGCCTGAAGAAGTTAAAAGAAAGGTCAAAACATCCACCCTTAATATACATTTCCTGTTCAGAAGCAGCATGCTTCTCTAGAATGCCTGCAAAACTGGATGTGGAGTCCTAAACAGAGAAAATTTAATTTACAATGATAAACGGATGCAGCAGCCACAAAGCAGAGAGAGTGGTGCAGGGCTGTGATGGTCATCGCAAGGCATTTGCCTGCTTTTTTTAATATATTTTTTTAAAATGTTATGCAATTGCTTAGCTTGCTTTGTGCTTCAGGTTTTGTCTGTCATTAGTCACATGTGTTGTATCTATCTGTTGAGACACCTGTGCCCATGGCAATGCTTCCTGGCACCAGGAGGTGCGGTCAGACCCTGGTGGGGCACAGGCATTGCCCTGACAATGAGAAGTAGGAGGGCAAAAGCATTGGTGAAGTAGGCCCTTGCCCTCCCATTGCTACTCCATCTGGAGTGCAACAACCATTCCCAGCCTTGGGAAAGAGCACCTACGGACCCAACAGGGACCCAAACATTAGAGAAAGCAATTTCCTTCACTAACTGTATTTCAGACTCCTGACCAAAGGACCGTAACCCTAAGGGAGAGCCCAGCCTTGTGACCATAGTGATTTTGGTCCTGGCTGGAGGCACAGGTGAAGGTCTACACGCTGGGTGAGACAACCCACAGGTCCTGTCAGGTCTCAGGTGGGACTGATGGCACAAACACCAGTCAGAAAGAGGAGGCTGAGGAAAACCAATCAACTTCTGTCTCCTAAAATAATCCTTTTCTTTTAAAGGTGAAAAATGTCGAAGTTTTATTGACCTTGCCCCGGCTTCTGAAAAAGGTAAGACAATACAGTCAAGGCTTCTTCCCATTGTACAAATTACATCAGTATTGTTTCTTGACATACTTCAGTGCCAGGGGAAACATTACTTCCTAAGCACACAAGGACCTACATGTCATCTGGCTTACATAGATGCAGGTGAAACAAATGCCAAGGGTTTAAGACAGCTGTTTACTCAGGTTATACATATCTGTCATTCCTCTGATGTATTTTCTTCATGGAGCTGAATTTTTTTCAAGAAGATCACAGAATCACAGAATAGTAGGTGTTGGAAGGG